TTTAAAAGCCAAACAAATTTAACATTAGGAAAGGTTAGAAAAATCAATAGCACACAGCAGGAAAGAAAACAATAGATTTCATCTGATGATGATACAGCTTTGGTGAATGATAGGATGAGACAAAAAATGAGGCTTTCGCTGTTCTGTCTTAGTAGAGCAGCTATGGGAGGCACTTTGCTAAAGAAGGAGGAATGTGTCAGACTCACTTAATAGGATTGTTGAACCCTATATTTCAGACAGACACTGAATTCAGAGAGGCACTGAAATGTCAATCTGAACATCTCAGCATTTCTCCATTTTCAGAAATGTTACACATCACAGGACATTGTGTGTTTGTAGAAAGCAGTGTGTAGTTGCTCATTCCCCCATGTTCTACTTAATCTTTTATTAAGAGAATGTAATGGTTTTTTCTTTCTGTAACCTTTTTGAGTATGGGAACATAATTAGAATAGAATACATAAAATATCCTAATGTGTACTCTATCTCCCACGTCTTCCTATGGAAAACCACTTAACATTATCTTTTGAAACCTGTATCTGGCTGTGCTCAGTGGGAGCACCAGTGACATTCAGTTCAGTCTTTTAACAATACTTGAGCACAGAGGCTCAACTTTGAGCTATCAAACTCAAACAGATGTGCTTATGTATAGTGCTAATGCCACATATCCTCAAGCAAAACAAGGAGAAACGAGACAGGTTGTAGATTCTCTCAAAACCACAGAACTGACAAATAAATTTTAAGAAACCTATATAAATTAAATGTTATCTCCAAACATTCTCTTTCCCCTAAACTTCACCAACACAAACAGTAATGTACTCACTTGATCCTAATATTTCACTGACCAACTGGGTAAGGCTATAGATTCTCAGAACTACTTTATTTGGAAGGGACTTTTCAAAGTCATCTGGTCTGATCTCCTGCTAAGAGTACCTTATGTTTGCTCAGGTTTGTCATGGCCCTTTCCAGTCCAGGTTTAGCTGGAAATGGAGATGCCACTTCCCTGGGCTACCTCTTCCCATACTTGACAACTCTTATGTAATTTTATTTCCCAGTGGCACACAGAGATCTATTGTATTGCAAATTGTGGTTGTTGCTTCTTCTCCTACCTCAACTTAAGGAAGAATATTCTTCTTTTTTCTTTCTGCCCTTCCATTATGAAGTTTACAACAGCGATATGATCTGCTGCTCACCTTTTCTTCTGGAGGTTTGAATAAGACAGTTCATATCTGCTTTTTCTCACATCATATGTTCTAGACTTCCCTAAAATTTGTTTCCCTCGCTTGTACTGTATTGACATGCAGTATTTCCACTTTGGAGAGCCTGAAGAGGTCATTTAAAAGCAAGGAGGCAGAGGGTTCCCAGATATCTCTTCCTTTTAAGGTAAATTTCTGGTTACAGGGAATTTAATTTTGCCCCTCTGCTATCCTCTTCCTCTTTATCCCACACAGAGAATAACTCCAACCTTCACATTCCTCATACACTAGCTGCAGCCAGCTGAAAGTTTTGGCCTCCCCAACTTTTTCATACACAAATGTGCAGCAGACAAACATTTACATCCTGTATTGGACTCAATGCAATTGATACTGAAAAACTACTCTGTGGCATTCACATTTTCTGGAAAAAAATCTCTTCGCCCAGGATTTTTCTCCTGGGAAGCTGAGAAGCCTCAGAGAAAAAGGAAAACAATAATTATCTGATTTGTTTCTCCTGTGTTTTGCTCATTTGGAATGTGTTTGGAGATTGTTTATGAACAGGTGGTTGTTTCATTGGTTTCTGCTGTGAATTGTTTTCACTCTTTGGCTAATCAGTGCCAAGCTGTTGGGGAGAGAGATCACAACTTTTCATTATTATCTTTTAGCCTTCTCTAAGTATCCTTTCTGTATTCTTTAGTATAGTTTAGTTTGGTATTCTTTAATATAATATAGTATCATAAAGTAATAAATTAGCCTTCTGAGAACATGGAGTCAGATTCATCATTCCTTCCTCCATCTGGGGACCCCACAAATACAATACAACTCTAGGAAAAAATCATACATAGATTTGAGCAAAGTACTGCTCTATGTACAGAAAGAGGAACAGAAATGGACTGCAGGATCTGACTGAGCGTCTTGGACCAGGCCTAGCAAACAAGATAAAATATGTGGATGCATCACCCTACAAGTTCAACAGGTGACAGACACTATGTTCTACCACCTCATCTGTAATAGGAGGGTGGTTTCTGAGGCCACAGCATTCAATCAGTATCAAAAACAAAAAAAAAACCAAAAAAAACCCACCCAAAACCACAGTTGGGGAAAATCTGTTTGCAGAGATGGCAGAAGCCCAGACAGTGGTTGATGGCCCAGTATTCCACAGCTGATCCAAAACACCTCTACCAGAATCGAAACCAAGTCTAGCATGGGATAAAGATGAGACAGGCTAGAAAGTCACTTCAAACATTTTGAAAATGTTTAAAGATACAGGATTGTAGAGAGACAGGCAGAACAAGAACCTCTAATTTGAGCTACTTCTAGGCATAAAAGTTGCATAGATTTCCTATAGGTGGTAAGATTGAGTTAGCATGATGACCAAACTAACATGGTTGATTTATCTCTATGAATTACAACCAGCAGGAAATTAGGGAACTGAAGCCTTTGGCATTTGGGGAGTAGGATGCAAGTAAGGAAGGCAAAGCAGTTAAGTTCACTGACTTCTTTTGGGAATTTCAAATACTGTTGAACAAAACTGTTGAACAGCTTATCTTTAACTCAGCTTAATTGAATGAATTGTCTTTTAAGTTCTTAAATGAAGAACAAACCAAGTATGTACAATTAGTGAAAATTACTTTTGATATTTAAATAGCCAAAATACTTAATTAAGTGAAATTAGTTTTCTTCTAGATTTTGGACTCAAATTTGGCTGACTGCCTGGCATCAGTACAAACCTAATACTGTATGGGTTGCTTCACCTCCAGTCCTAGGGTTCATGATGTTTTCACTCATCCAACTGCACATTAAGGATCACAGCCATTCACAGTGACTAAAATAATTAATTAATAATGTTGAAATCTATACTCTGAAAGCCAAATAACTGAAATTGGCATTCAAGTGAAAGCCCTATTACTGAAAAGCAAACCAAGAATGTCCAGGTTTGACTATCACTTATAACCTTATATAACATCACTTTATTTATTAGACAAGTACTATGTGGTGGCAGAAACAAAATCAGTAAAATATATGTAAACATATGCACAGTTCCACAACCCAGAAGCTACATGAACTTGTCAAATTTGACAAGCATTTAAAACAACAACAACAGCAACAAAAGAAGTGCTCTGCCGTTGAAACTGACTGCAACAGCTGCAACCTCTCCTCTCTTTCCCTATTTCTATTTTGATGTGATCTTTTCAACAGTAAATCAAATGTTTCCTGTTTTTGGTTAAAACGAGGCAGTATGTGGCTTCTGGTGGAGGATTTTTTTTTTTACATAATGCGTTTTATGTTGAGATAATAGGAATGAAAGAGTTCATCTGCATTAATAGAGTTCATCTGCCCCCTTTTAAAAAAAAAGTCTATTAATGAAATAGCAATTATTTAAAATGAACAAAATATGAGTCTGTTTAGTTGGTATCTGACTGATACCAAAGAAAGCCACCGCAACTTCTTTGCCACCTATTAGATACCAAAATCCAGAAACCCAAATGTTTCTAAATCTCTAAATCTAAAAAAACCAAATAGAAGCAATCTGTCCCCCTGCTCCCCAAATAAAAAAAAAAAAAAAAGTAAACCAACAAACTCCACAAGCAGACAAAAAAAAATAAACTAAACAACCAGCACAGTTAATGTTCCATTTGCTGGAAAAATTCCCAGTATTTATCCATACTGGAGCAAATTCCTATGATGTATTAAGTTTGGTCAATGAAAGCAAACAAATGCTCACAGGTCAGAAAGTGCAGTGATATCCACATCACTGCCACACCTTTATCAGAAGGCCACTAACACCTTTTAAAACTTTTAAATAACTGAGCAGAGAAGTAAGAGTGTTGCGTGAGAAAGGTCCGTCAGGAGTTGCAGTCTCATATTAAACCCATATCTCTCCATACCCATTTCTTGCATTTAAACAGCAGACCTACTTTTGTACATCCCTGTGCAACTAAAACATGTTATTTTTTCAATCTGATGATTAAAACTGAGCACAGTACAACAGTGACAGCCACCTGCTATTTTTGTATCATCTATGAAATTTCCCTTATGTACCCTTTTCTGAAAAACAAGGTTCAGAAAGGGGGGATTTAATTGATGGTCAGTCTCTCTCTGTAATCAGCACTGTGAAAAGCCTTTGTCTCCCAACATGGTTATGCCCTTTGGATCCTAACCCAGGGATGGGTCTGATTACAGTACCTTGCTTTTCTTGAAAAATACCTTGAAAACAGTAATTTCCCCTCTGTGTGCATTTATGTACTAAGATATGAGGTAGCTCTTGGAAGGGAAATCAGAGTGCTGGAATTGCACCAGTGTCTGACAAAAGGGAAGAATGTGCCACTGATTGTAGATAGCAAGAGCCACTACCCAGTTGTGCTGATGAGAGTCTTTTTTGTTTGCTTGTGTGCACTTTGAACCAAGACAAAGAACTGCATCGTTTTCAAAAATAAGGCAAATACACTTAAACACATGCTAAAACTGCCTTTGGCACTCACACCAATGCATATTAGAGTCAAGAACTCTTCTGAAATAAAGCAAGAAAGAGAAAAGCTGCCTTAACCAAAAATCCTATCTGTGCCCCACAAAGCTGAAGAAATAGGGCATGCAGTATTCCTTGCAATTCAACGAGCTGGGAGGGAGAGAGAGAGGCCATCTACATTTCAAATATCCCACACCAATTTAATTGCAGTAACCAAACAGGTTTTTGTTTTGGCTTTTGTGATTCTGTTGTTGTTGTTGTGGTGGTGGTTTTGTTTGTCCTTTTTTTTTTTTTTAATTATAAGGGCTTCGGGTTAACAACTCTTGCTTTTTACCACACAGGATGACAGACACTCTACAGAAATAAAGTTAATAAGCAGACACTGTATTTGAATCGACTTCAGTTTCCAGACTAATTGCCAATTCTCAAGAACATCTCAAGGTAAGAAAAACAAGCAGAAAACAGCATGGCTTGTACGGAGGTGTTTTCAAAGATCTGGGCTGACAAATTTTAGACATCCTAAACACTATCTTAACATGTTCCTTTGCCAGGAGCCAAGAAATCCAAGAGCACCATGACTGTGAAAAATGCATAGAAAATAGCCAAAGAGATGTTAACTTGGATGGCATAAAATTCCCTGCAAGGCATTTCTAATCATTAATCTTATTTAAATATATATGACTAGTACTCCTAGTCCCTCTCTCTTGCATTTGGACAGACTTTATGCAACAGAATTTTTGTTCCTTAGCTAGTATTTCCCAGTATGTCTTTACTTTCAAAGGTATGTAATTGCTCTGAAAAGAATTTGGATTATGACAGTAGAGGTGCATTTTAAATAGTGATTACTGGACAGATTTTATTGAGACCAGGCTCCGAATGTGTGCTAAGGGCAAAAAAACCCATAAGGGTATTCGTACACAACTCTGTCTATGAGTACAAGATGAATACAAAGGGATTTGAAGATTTTGATTACCTGAAGACAGCAAATTGAAAGGAGAAATATCCTCCGATCATGGATAAAAGTCCAAAAATTGTGTTATCAAGACAATTCAGTAGCTCCTCTTTTCTTTTTGGTATTGGGATATTAATAAAACCAGCAAAATTAGTCTCAAGACTGATCCATCAGGAAAGATACTAATTACTTCCCACTGCTTGTTAGTTTTCTTATGAATCGCTGCCTGCCTTTAATTTGTGTCTTAGGCTCTAACTTGGCTAGATATGTGACTAGATAATACTCTTTTCTTTCCCTCTTATTGTTCTGTGTGACAGTTTCTAAAACCTCTCAGCCTCAGTGTAAGAGCTGTATATCACAAGGAATAGAAGAAACTTTCTGTGAGGAGAGTTTATTAATTGTCTGTAATATCCCATAGTTTCAGAATCATTTAATATAGATCAAAAGGAGAATGCCAAACTACACAAATCCTCAGCACAATGCAGGTCAGCTTCTGTGTTCCAAATTTTAAATTATATTCCTGTCCTCTCTTCCTCCAGTTTTTCTTTCCAGTCTTTTCAATGAAGGGAATGGCCAATTTAAACATATGGAAATCTCTCTTGCTTTCTCTAGGCAGATTGTCTATGACAGGCAGATTATATAACATTTCCAATGTCTGCTGGTGCCTGAGAGAGGCAGGAGCTTTACACTGCTGAAAACTGGGTATCTCCCCACACTGCCACACCAGGTCTGCATCCTGCTTGCATATTTATAGGATACCAGAAAAAAGTAAGGCAGAATGAAGGAAATATTTGTTGTTACCCATACATACGCCATGTTAACTGCAGGTAGAAAATTAACACACAAAAAGGATGTTGCTTTTGGGAACTTATTGGAGGAAAGTTCCTGGCCATACCTCAACAGCTTCATGTCAGAAGTACCAATGTTGTAAAAAATGCCAAACTCAAGGCACATTGCTACTAATTTAGTTACATCTTCTGTATTGAAAAGAATTTTGTGACTCCAAGAATGAGAAAGACTGCATAGGTTTGGTAAATGCCCAATCTTAATGCAGACCAGTGAAAACAGGTTTCACAAACTCTAAATAAAATTAAATTGTTCAGTATTTTAACAACCATAAATATTGCAAAGCTAACAGCAATGAAAATACATAACAATAATAATTATAATAACAGCAGCAGTAACAGCCACCACTCAGCTTTACAATCCTTTTCAAAGATTATCAAATTATCCAGGAGCAATGAACAGAAATAATTGACATGCTGACATTTTGACAGACATAAGGGAAAGCTTAGGAAATTAAAGCACTGCCCAGCAGAGCAGTTCTGATTTCATCACTATCAAGTGTTCCACTGAATATGAACACATTTCCAAGTGAAATGCAGGCTTTTTGCTGCATTTCCACAGAGCTGAGGTCGATTCTTGAATAATAATAGGTCACACAACATATTCACACGGTTGCTGTATTTTCTATTTGTGGAGGATTTAAAATCTCAAGTGAAATTGCTGAACAAATGTTCAGTACTTAGATCTGAGAGCACTTGGTTACTTGTTATGTTGGACACCAGTTTTATCTTCAAGGCCTGCTTTTTGATAAGCAAAGGTTGTGGGTTTAAAGACAGAGAACACCTAGAAACTGTGCTGTATATCCTTCTCCTTGTCTCTCTTTTCCACATGAAATATAAACGAATGCTCAGGGGAGTGTTCAATTAGAAATCAGAAAGTACAAGCTTACTGTACTGAAAATACTTCCATTACATGTGGCAAGCTTCAAGCTTTGAACAGGTGACAAATATGACATCTAATAAAATAAATAACATATATCCAACTAATTGCAATTACTCTGCAAGTAATGCAGAGCTTTGCAACACAAAATTTTGCATTGGTGCACCCTAGATCTCTCCTAGTGGGATATTCCTTTGCTCTATGTAGCAACAGTGATCCCTGAAGTGTCACTTCTAGCTCTTCTTACAGATAGCTGTGATCCCTGGAAAAAGCAAGCTAGCACAAAATAAAGGGTACAAACATTACAAAGGCACTATATAGTCAACCTCTTGTTTTAACAGGTTCTGTTCAGAACCCACTCCAGTAACTATTCTGTGAGCACTGATCACAATCCCCTGGATATCCTATATATTAAAGGGATAAATCACAGAACAACAGAATGTTCATCTCCAGAAAGCAGGGGTCCCACTCTCATGTTTATTAATGCTGTAGGGTATGCCTAAAGCAAATTACACTGCACTAAAATAGGTATGAAAAATCAGATCCCATGATCTTCCCCTACATGACTGAGAACAGGATTTGGCCTCCTGCATCTTCTGTTGACAAAGGGCAATGGAACTGTCAGGCATATTCATAATACAAAATGCAAACCACTGCTGCTTGTGCAAAGAGCTGGAATGGGTTTGCAGGAACTGAATGCAGCAAAAAAGCTGAGTGTCACATTGTGCTAAAACAGAAATGCAAGTGAGAAAATGAGCTGGGTGCACACACAGGAGCAGACTGGTCTAACAGACGACCTGGAAGATGCAAGGATGCAAGACATTCCCCTGACTACTGCCTAGACAAAGCATAAGGCTCCAGAGCATCCCGCTGTGCTCTGACCTTCTCATCAGCCACCCAGGCTAACATGATTGCTGAGGGAATCTGACCTAGCACTCACTGATACCAGCACTCAAGACAGTAACTCTTTTTTATTAAAAATAAATATAAAATTTCCATAATGCACTACTCTAACACATAATCAGATCTCTAGGGATCTGAGAGCTTCTCCTATTCTGCTTCCCTTCATTCTACCCATACTCTATTTTAAACTCCTCTTGTTAGAAAGAAAAGGAAAAAAATATCAAGACATGCTTGTGCATTTTGATCAGAGACCTAAAAAACCCTTACAGCTTCAAAAAGCTGTGAGAAGATGCATCAGAAGCTCAGCAAGGCTATATGTGACCATTTTAAAATTTTTGGTTTAGCTCAATCAAGTCTTCCAAACATATTATTTTCACTAAATTTTGCCTGAATGGTAAGTTGGAAGCAGATCCACATGGAGATAACAAGACATGAAGATACACAGTCCCCCAGATTCTGAAGTTTTCAGAGTATTTGGCTCTTTGCTATACTGGGGTTTGTAGACAACGGTTATGTCTTTACCATAGCCAGTGCTGGGACTGGAAACTGGCTTTAGTGCACAACAGAGCTCAGCCTAGGCTGTGCCTGAAAGCCTCCTGTCTTCTCTGGTAGGTCTCACAATCTGAACAGGTCTAAATCCTGCCACTGCTCCTGGGAGGCCAACTGGCTGATTCAGAGCTAGGAGGGTTGGTCTAGCTCAGTAAAAGGCAGGTTATGTCTGCACCGAGCAGGCACAGAACAGCCCTATGAGCCCCATTGCCACGCCTTATTCTAGCACTCAGAAAGCTCTCCATGCACAGCAGTTTTAAACAAAGATGAACATTAGTGACTGCCCTTTAAAATATTCTGTTAAAGGTTTGTGAGACACTTGTGAAGGTATGAGGACAGTTGCAAGGAAAACTCTTCCTAACATTCTCCAGGTTTGGATTTCCTGTGAGAAGGCAATATATATACACTAATCAGATGATAAATTATGGAGATTAAACTAACCTTCAATTATCCTGTCCACACCTCTAAAGAGAAAGTTTTTCTCTGTTCTTTCTCAAGTGTTGTGTTCAGTTTAATTAAAAGATTTTTCAAAGCCTCAGAAGCTTTATATCTTTACAGAAAAAAACCCCAAACTACCACATCACAGCTGATCTCTCTAGGCATTTTTCCTGATATTTACTAAAAAGTCTTTTATTCAGCCATATCCCTCTTTGCACACAGGCATTACATAAGTATATCTCCTCAGTCCATATGATGCCCAGTAACACTCTATCTCTTTCTTAATCTTCCTTCAAATTCATGTTTTAAAATCCCTAGCATCCCCACAAAATATAAAGGTAAAGCAAATACATAAGCAATACCTGCTATATAGAAAGCAGCCTTTCTCTACTGACAAAAAGCATTAGAGCTCCTTAGCTTTTTGCAGGAACTCATTGTGCTTTTCCTTACTTACTGGAATGGCAATCCTGAGCCTGAATTGTACTACAAAAATTATTTTTAAGAGGCTTTGCTTTTCAAGCTGCAGATCATGTTCTAAAATGCCAACAGATTATAGCACATTCAGAGACTTAATAGTTTTCCCCTCGTGCAAAAAGTCACCCAATACCTTTCATTCTATATCTAATTAGCAGACATCCACACACAGCTTATGTAGACAATGCCCTGCTTTTACCACACATTGCAGCCTGCAGCTTTGTAATCCACATCCAAAATGTTCTCCAGGAAACTGTCTTGAGATCAAGGCACCAACAAAACATTAATCAAGTAAAGGATCAGCCACTTACACTGCCATGACAATCTGGTGTGACCTGGGCAAGCAGTCAGTGACATTTGGGCACTAAATGCTTCCTAGCTTCTGTGGGTCTAGGCTTGA